ACAAGGGGACGGCGGCTTCTTCCTCTGGAATCCTAAATCACTTCTTTCGTCGAGCTCATCCACATGGTTCATCGTTGTCGTCGGCCTCTCCCTTCTCATCCACCGTCGACGCCAACGTCGATATTCCCTTCATCCACCAACACCATTAAGATAGTGCCGTTCACCTGAGAACCAAAAGCCGTGACTTCTTCCTCCATCAAGCTTTGACAGCTATGGCATCCTCCATTATCACCATCGAGCCCGATGTCCTCCAATACTTCACCGTGGTCTTTCACCATTCGTCCAGCAGGTCTGAACCCCACGCAATCACTCGACTTCTCTCTTTCTCAAAAAGATCGGTGTCTCCTTATTCCACTTCTCTTCTCGGTTTCAATCTGCTGCTGTTCGTACTTCAATCTCCGGTGACCAACGTTTTTCTTGTTGTTGCAACCGTTGTCCCCTTCAGGTAAGTTATATATATGGTTTTTGGTCCCCTAATCTTGCTTCTTCATTCAATCTGTAACGATTTCATATATGTAATAATTTCAAACCTTATTTTCTTTTGCTATACTGGGTGGATGAGAGTTGAGGATAAATTTTCTGGTTGGTTGTGGAAGTTTTAATCTACAGCAGTTGCGAGACCTTTCTTGCTCCAAGACTAGCATTTCTCTTGTTGTCACAACCTTTGTCCTGGAAGGTAAGTTATATGGTTTTCGGTCCCATGTTCCTGCGAGACCTTTCTTGCTCCAAGACTAGCATTGGAATCTTGCTCTCTTTTGCTATATTGGATCTTTAAGAGGTAGACAAATTTTTGGATTGGTCATGAAATTTTTAAGCTTGAAATACATTGGTGTCATGTTGTTACTGTTATGTGTTTGGTCTATTGCTTTGTGTGTTCTGATAATGTGGTATTTAACTTGTCTTCTTTTGCCATGAACTCCAGAGTGTGCAAAATAGATTCTGCAAAATACATTGGCTGTTATAGTTGTTTGGAGTTAACGTGTTTAGATATTTGTTGAATGTTGTGGCGTGCAATTTATGGTACCATTAAGTTGGAAACTGTTAGGAGATGCAAGTTGTGTATGTAGATTTTTTTTCCTTATGTGTTTCATTCCATGCTTGTCCATCTGTAAGGATTAAGCCCTATCCCAATTTCTTTGTTTCTTTTTTTGCCATTTTGGTCTTTCACGTTATCACTTATCCTTATCAATTATTTAAATATTTTCGGTTTATATTTAAATTTCAGTTTATATTTAAATTTCACTTCATTTCCCCCATTATGTATTCAATCTGATAATATCCCTAGATTATACTATTCATCCTTAGGAAGAATGAATATAGACTACCATGACACAAGACGTCAAAGATGCGTATACAATGGGATTTTTGAGGGAGGGTCAATTTTTTTAATGGTTCTCCCTTAAATCTTTTCAACTTTTCTTTTTTATCCTGTCAATCCCAAAACTAGCTCTATTTTCGGTCTAATTCTGAACTCAACTCAATGGTAGCTCAACTCCAATCCAACCGAACTGAAACATAAAAATATTTCTTTTGATTCACATTGAGTTGTTAGTGAGTCCAATCGAAGGTACATCTGGCTCTTTAATAATTGGTATTGGATGTCTAACTGCAATCAAACATGTAATTTTGTATATAGAATTCGATAAACATTAAGCACAATCTTACTTCAATAAGTGAAGCATAAAACTCTTGAGGTGTTAGAGAAGATATTAGCCCAACTGATTGTGCATGAGGTGATTCAGAACTTCCTTCAATGCTTAACACCTTCATGTCTTTGACTGATTTCTACATTTGATTCCAAAAATCTTATAATCACTTGAAAAACATCAAAGAAGGACAAAACCAACTTATAGGGTTAGCATGCATGATTAAGAGATAGATAGCTAAAAAAATTTGCTTACAAGATACTAAACAATATCGGCTTATAAGAAACTAAACAATATCTGTCATATCGGCTTATTGATGGCATTAACTATTTGGATTGAGAAGGAATCATTACAAGTACTAACAAACTTAACTCAACTACACAATCAAAATCAATGATATCTAGTATTAGAATATGAATCTCAAAGACCATGTTAGAATTGGTCTAGCAGTGTGAAATCTCGCTAGATCCCTCTATGTCTCGAGTTTGAGTCTTAGAGAGGAGACGCATGTGCTAGGAAGGGCGGTTACGAACCCCAAATCAAATTAGTTGATTATTCAGATACTTGATAATAAATCTAGAAAAAGCATCGAATACCAAATAATAGTACTACATCCGGTCCTTAATATAAGATCTTGTTTGACTTTTATTTTGGTCCTAAATATAAGACCCCGATCCACTTTGTCTCTCATATTTATGCATTTTTTTTCCAAAGTAGTCCTTCTAACAATGATAGCTCTAACCAATACACTTGATTAGCAAGGATATTTTAGAAAAGACAACACATATTTATTACAAATAACTAACTTAACTTCTTTTTTTAATTTCCTCAAATTAGTCAACTAGCTCTTATAATTAGGACCAGAGGTAGTATAAAAAGTATGAATCTCAAAGAGAATCCAATAATAATTGAGAGAAAAATTCACATACTAAGGTTTGTTCTCTCAAACTTTGAGAAATGTGATCAATATGATTCTGATTTAGCACTTGTGGTAGTATTTCTTTCCTTGACAATTTTTCAGCAAAAGTTGGGCAATAGATAGGCATGTTGTCAGCCATAATAAAATAGGTCTTTGATAATTCAAAATGAGAGATGGAAGAGAAAGAGATTAAAGAGATTCAGGTCAAAACCTGTGGAAGAGAGGATGCTACAAAGATGTGTTTAAGTAGTTGGAAGACAAGGCTTTGTACATATTAATGCATTAAAGCTTTTGAAAGCAGTATTTATTTCAAGGACAATACTTATATCAAGTTTTTTATATTTATTATATCAACTTCTACAATCACACAGGACCATATATCATATTTTTAAAATATTAGCATATAATTATAAACCCACACAAAATGAAAAAGGACACATGTCCATGTGATTAGAGAACATAACATAATATATATGACGAACTTGATCATCTGAGTTTTTTCTTTATTTAAGTTGATTTTTTTAATCAATTTTTGCATATGGCATTAGAATGGTCAATTCCTGTGAATAAAACTACTTATAATTTTGGATAAAGGTTAGAGAGAAGCATAAATAGTCGAAAATAGGCTCTTGTACATCTCCCTTTTTCCCCCTTTGCATAAACTATTTAATTGGTAGCGGCGCTATCGATGACTAATAAAATTCTAGTGTTAACAAGTCGTAAATGGAGGCAGCTCGATCTTCCGATGCAATTTCTTTTCCATTTTCATTTATAAGAATTAAATTTAATATCTTAAACAAATACATGAATATATCCACCGCCGACAGTTAATAATGTTCAATTCATGTATGACTAAAATACACTGTGTATTCTCCTCAAATTTATAACTTTTTGCTTGAAGTGTATGAAAAGTTATGGCCAGTTGAGTATCGTAGTATTAAAACTCAGCTCAAGTCGCCTGGTCAAATCAATAAACGATATCCAATGCCCTGATTGATCTAACTAAGAGTTTTGAAGGGGTTGACCAAGTTGGATTTTGCTAGAAATGATGTCTTTTGCGTGAAATAAATAAAGTAGTTTGTCAGATTTGTGCTTTAATAACTCTGTTTTGTTGGATTATATGTGGATTATATATAAATGTTTTGTTTACTTCCAAATTAACGTCTTTCTATTTAAATATTACTCTTTTCAGAATTATATAGAAATGTTTTTATGTTTTAATCAAATTATATTATTTTAATCATAGCTAGTGCGATGCTGAATTGACCCTGATGTAAGCCATTGCCTCAATCAATTTAATTATTGGTCGACTTTTCAATACTCTGGGGGATATGGAGTTTTAATGTTTGATTAAAAATTGACCAAAAAAAAAAAGAAACTGTTTCCTCCTGTATTTTTTAAAGCACATTTTTGCAAGTCTTTTGATGAGTTGTTTATTATATTTTTTAGTATTTCCCGTATTAAAATTTTGCTAGAAAATATGAGAGAATGAGAAAGGACGTAATATTTTTCACGGTTTTTGATGCATAATCTCTTTCTTTTTGTTTTTTGGGGTCAAAGCATAATCTCTTTCATTTTGCACACATCATTGATGGTTAATCGTTTCTCCCAAGCTTTGATAAGATGCTTAGAAGTGGTTTAAAAAGAGAATAGGAGAATACTCTTTTAATCTTATTTATAGAACACTTCTAATATCTTTCACTGAAGCAAAAACAACTTCATTATTAATCGTATCTTAAAATTTAACAATTTTTTAATTTTACCTTTCATTTATTATATACACTTTCAAAAAAATAACAATTACACTATAATAAATGAAACATAAAATAATTTATTCACGTTAAAAATTTAATAATATGACTTATAAATAGGATAAAAATTTTTCCCTCTGTCTTATCAAAGAAGCAAAACCTCTTTCATTCTGCGAAGATCATTGATGGTTAATAGTCTCTTAGTATTTGATAAGATGTTTGAGAACAGATTTATTAAAAAAATAAGAGTAGCTGCAAATGAATTTTGGTTTATCCCCTCTTTTTCCCCTTCGCATCAACTGTTTAATTTACAACTGCGTAATTGGTAAGTAATAAAATATATTAAAATTTTATCATTAGCGTGTCATAATCCGAGGCAGCTTTGAGATTTAAAATTTTAACCTGAGATTTTAAATAAAGAGTGTTAAAAAAAATAATAGTCTATTGAATAATGTAGAGATAAAATTATACATTCACATAATAAAGCTGGTAAATTTAATTGTATGAAGAAAAGAACTCTCGTTTTGCTTCATAATTAAGATTAAAAAAGCATTTCTAAAAATTAAAAAATAATAATAAAATGGGCCAGCCCATGGCTCTAATGGGCTCCAATTGGTAGTGATCCGAATAGTTTGTCTAGCAACATCATTTTTCATCAAGTCGAGCGAATTACAGTTCTGGCCCAAAGGTCGGGCGCGCCGTCAATTCGAGATTGTGCTTCTGGTTATTTGGGATTTGCATCCTCATTCATCGATCGATCTTTGAGCTCTATACAAGAAGTCATCTTCCTCCTTTTCTTTTTAAGCCTTTCTCTGGTGGCAAATCTGGAGGTGGCACAGAGATGGCAGGCGAAGATGATAACAGTGAGTTCTACTTGAGATATTATGTGGGGCACAAAGGGAAGTTCGGCCACGAGTTCCTTGAGTTCGAGTTCAGACCTGATGGCAAACTTCGCTATGCAAATAACTCCAACTACAAGAACGACACCATAATTCGCAAGGAAGTTTACCTTACCCCTGCCGTTCTTCGTGAGTGCCGCCGCATTATTTCCGACAGCGAGGTTTCAGCCTTTTCCTTTTACTTGCTTTTTCCGTCTTTGTTGATTTGCATTTTTATTTTGGTATTTTGAATGAAGTAGGAGCTGAACAAATTTGTGTTTTTGTTTAGGGACGTGAGTCTGCGTTGCTAGTTAGGGTTTTATCTTTTGGTGGAAAACAGTTAATTTCTTAGCTTTTTTTATTTGGGGTTTTCTTATTAGGTTCTGATAAATAATGGGGTTAGAGATAGGAAATTCTGGGTTTTGTATCTACTTTATTATGCAGATAATTACGCAGATATGTACTTCTTATTGGTCCTCTTCTGTCATAAGCCTTGGCTTTACTCGTGTTCCTTGTTTGTTGGTTTACCTCTGTTATCTTCTTCCTTCCTATATTTGCTAAGCGAATACTGGTGTTCAAATTGGTGATGTTTGGTGCGTTTGTATTTTTCAATTACTCGCTCTTCAAAGAAATCACGGGGTAAACCTTTTTGGGATTGACTCTGCTCTGGGCTGCCGTATGCTTTTTAAAGTATCGGTATCGATAATGTGAACTTTTGGGGTGTTTGGATTAGAGTTTGAAAGATGGATTCTTTACGGTTTTGTAAGGTGTTAATTGATTCCGACGTCTTAACTGTTTGGATGTGAATGTAATTTGCTGGGTCGAGGATGATGTTAATGAGTTTTCACTATTACATGAATGCTAGTGAAGGAGTCTGGCTGTTAGACTTTTCGTCGTCGTTGTTAATAGTTGGAGAGATGAAAGAAATATAGCTAGCTTGATTCGCTGAGAAGCAATTGATCATTCTAAGTAATAGCTGGTGCTAGGGGTAGCGATGGCTGGGGCCTGTTCAAAATTTAGTTTTCTGAAATTAAATATGAAGTATAAGTAAAGTGCAATATCCATATCCTATCTCAATGTGATAAATTTCACGTTTTGCTATAAAAAAGGACTATAACGAAAAGGCACTACCTGGTTAAATGTAGCCTTTGTTGCTAGCTAATTTTGCTATAGAAGAATTTCTTTCTTTGATTAAATGGTTACAATATGATAAAAAATAAGTACTCTGTTTATTAGTATCATCTATTCTTCAATATCTTGTAGATTTCTAAAAGAATTACTTGTGTTTCTTATTAAATTCTGTCTTCATTCAGATAATGAAGGAAGATGACAACAATTGGCCAGAACCTGATCGGGTTGGACGGCAGGAGCTGGAAATTGTAATGGGAAACGAACATATTTCCTTCACAACATCAAAGATTGGATCTCTCGTGGATGTTCAGAGTAGTGCTGATCCTGAAGGCCTTCGCATCTTCTATTACCTTGTTCAGGTTAGTTGATTCATTGATGCATAATGCTGTTGATTGATATTTTTGGTGCTGTCTGATTTTCTCATCTTATTTTGAATTTTGAAAGTTTTGGTGAGTGTGGGAATTATATCCATCTTTCTCACCTTTTGCCCTTTTCTTATTTTAAATGTTTATCAGTTCCTTTTATTAGTGGAATTTGAAGGATATCACCTTGCTTCATTGGGATTCCTCCTCCAGCAGGCTTCTCAAAATACGGGCTGAGAAGCTGCTGTTGGGGTCAGGCTTCAAAAGATTTCCTCTAGGAGGAACAAGAGACAGAGAAAGAAAACCAGAGAGTAGGGGAGCATAATTGAGTTACATGGATCATATTACTTTTACAACCCTTCTAATCTCTACATCTGTACAATATATATGGCACGAGTAGTGCTCTGTTGCCCAACTTTACAAAAATCCTGACAGTGCCCAACTTCTAACAGCTATAACAGCTTTCTTACCAGCATGACTATCATAGCTACCATATACTTACAGGTTTGGTGTAGTTTTATAGGATTTGGACCACCACATCTGGTGGCAGGAAAATGAGCCTCATGTAAAAGCATATCTCCACTATTCATTTCCTCCCACATCTTTGTTCCCTGTGATAATTTGGAGGAGCTTTGGCCGGGAAATTATGTCTGGGGAAAGGAGCAGCTGTAATGGATAAAAGGCAAAAATTGGTTTTATTGTTCTGACGACAAAATATAATATTTTGATGTGGATATTTTTGGGCTGGTCAATTTAATGAATGGTGGATAGATGCTGGCCAGTAACATTCCAGCTAAATAGGACAACAGAGGAATTAGAATTTTGGCGAGCTAGATATTGAGTTATGCAAATAAATGTTCTAAAGCTGGATATATTGAGCTAGATATTGAGTTAGGCAACTTAAAGGTTACCTAAGAAATCAGATTTCTTTTAGGTATTCTCTGGAGATGATATGGTTTAACAGAAAAGAATAACTTGCTCATAGGAACATATTGTGGGATGAAATTGAGTGGCACAACACCAAGAATCTTGAATTTGTAATATTATATCATAATTTAGCATTACAGTAATATGAATTTGGACTGTAGGCTGTGGTTTAAAGTTATCCGCTAAATAAGACTTAAGATGCTTAAATTTTGAACCCAAATACAAGACTAGGGACAAAGGAAATATAAAAAATCTCAATGTGAAGACTGAATGTAATTGATTGACCAACTTCAGTGCATCAATATGTTGATTGGGTCAGTAAATTTAGAATATAATGTGTGGGAGAGTTACCATTAGTTTCTATTGTCAAAATTTGTCAGTCTTTCAAGTTTCAGTACATATTTGCCATGTGTTTATTCTCATTGGAAATTTCTCGTCTCTGCAGGATTTGAAGTGTTTTGTATTTTCTCTCATCTCTCTGCACTTCAAGATAAAGCCGATATGATTGGATCAGAGTGTCGGTTGAGAACCTCCCCAGCGTTTTTGTGTATTGACTGTGGCATCTGAGACAATTTTAACAACCATGGACATGTTAGTCGTGGTTGTGCTGCAAATTTATAGTTCATTGAGTAAAGGGCATTTTATATTGGGAAGTTGGGTGGATTGCTGTTTGGAGGAATGATTAAGCTTGTCTTTTGCCTTTTTTACCCCTCTGCAACAGGCTTGTCTTCTAATTTAGGAAGGATTGGACGGTTTGTGCACCTTTCATTGCGACATTCTGTAGAGATGAATATGCTGTTTATGTCCTTGTCTTTAAATCGTGGTTTCTCCATTTGTGGGGAGGGTTTCAAACCCAATTTTAACGCTTATTTAAATGCAATTTTATGTCATTAAGTTATATTTAAATATTGTCAAAGCTCTTCCAAAATGACATTTTCTAACCCTTGAAGTCTTCAACTTCATTTGAGGATTATTCAATTCCATCCATTTGATTTTTGAGTTAATAAAATATTTCATTTATTCATAAGAAAGGGTTTGCTGTTTGAAGGACGGATGGTGAAAATTTAAGGCATTATTGTTGGGCGATGATTAATATTGTTATGTTACTATTACTAATACTTTTAGTGAAGTTTATTTTCTAATAATGTTGGGTTTAGATGTCTGTTGTTTTGTCGTTAAAATTTATTTTGCATTTTTATTTTGATATTTAAAAATCTGCGATGAAGAAAATTCATGGCTTAAATACAGTAACAAATTAGTTCATAGTAACAAGGCTATCTCATAAATTTGATAGCGAAGTAATGATATTATTTCCGGTCTAAATTATACTCCCTCCGTTCCTTATTATAAGGGACATTTGATGTTTATAGTATGTTCTTATATATAAAAGACATTTAAAAGTTGTCTTTACTTTTTTGTGTTGATTTTCTATTGTACTCATATTTATTATCTTCAACTCACTCTCTCTCTCCCTCCCACTTCTCTTTCTTTTAATAATTTAATTGTTCTCTCTCATGTTCTCTCTCCTTATTAATGAGGGCATTTTTGGAAAAAAAAATTATATTTTTTTATACATTAATTGTTCTTAACTAATTTTAACTATTTTTTTTATCAACGTACTTCGGTTATTTGTCTCTTATAATAAGGAATGAAAGGAGTAAGATTTTATTTGGAGAATACAAAGGGAGGTAGTATTAACTATCAACTTTGATTCCTTACTGTTCAATTGATTAGCAAAATACAAGAATGTGTAATAAAGTATATTTTCTGACCTTGAATGAAGTATATTGTTAATACAATTCATTTGACAAATTCGTCATCGTCCACAGCCACACGATTTACTCCATCTTTATCAAGTCAAATAAAATTATATTGAAAATTCATATAAGAAAAGTAATTACATTTAGTGTTTTTTAACGAATATTCAGTCTTGTTTTCGCGCGAACACCAACAAGTAACGGCGCATGATCCGAAGCATAAACGTCGGCGTTGAAAATAAAACAATAAATGCATGTAATCTTCAAATCTTATGCGTAATGGTGAACACGACAATTGAAAATGAGGGTCTGAATCTGACCAGAAGTGTAGAAAAACTAGAGGCCAAAATTAAGGACAACACATGCGGCGAAGTGGTTGGTTGGTCAGTAAACCAATCTTGTCTTGTTACATTCATTGGCCAACTATTTTTTCTCTAATCTTAACCGTCTTCTTCATCAATATGCAACCAAACATCGCTATCCTTACCCACTTTTTTGCCCTCCTTTAGAGATCTTCAAGCCGTAATCTTTTCAGTTACAGGAACCGCAATCTCTGGTTGATTTCCAGGACATATTTGTAGTTTTGTCTCTCTCGCTCTCCTTTGGCAATGGGTGGGGAGCGCAAGGTGTACACCCTCGCTGAGGTCTCTCAGCACAACAACTCCAAAGATTGCTGGCTTGTTATCAATGGCAAGGTTTGTGAGAATTTTGTGTGTATGCAGAATCTGATCTGGAATCGGGAATAATGCTGTGTTTGTGTTTTAATTTGTTGATGAGATTTCGTTTTGGGCTTGATTATCGTTGCTGAGAATCTTGGGTTTTTAGTGGAATGAAATTTTAAAGGGTTTAAATGATGGCTGAGGTCTATCTGGTGAAGTTTATGTTGTTTCGTTTGCATAGGAGCTCGATATGCATTTGTTATTCCTATTGAGTACTTGGGCGGTGGTTTGACTTTTGATTAGTTTGTCATTATTGTGATGAGTTCTTGGATAACTTGTTTATGTTTTCGATTAGAAAATGGGCTGTAGGAATTGAGGTTATTCTAAATGTGAGTATGCCTGGAATCAAAGGCTGCAATCCTGAATGTGGTAGGTTTGAGGAAAGAGTGAACATTTACGACCTATCTATTTGTTATGCTTGCTATAATATATGTTCAATTTATTTATTTATTTATTCTCCCTCCATTTCTTTCGCCCTAGTTTCTATCAATAACAAGGTAAAACTCAAGAAGAATCAGGATCACTGAAATGATGCTGGGTCTGAGTTGTCTCCACGCCGTAACCAACTGGGGGGGGGGGTTTTAAATGGGCATTGTTTGTCGGGTGAAATATTCATGTCATTCCTGAACATTTGATGAAATTGGATGAGAACTTGTCAGCTGTGATGCTATGTTTTTTCTTTTTCTTTCAAGCTATGTCTTGATAAGGGTCCTCAATCTTTATGACTGCGGCATTATTTAGTATTATGAATGGAAATGGTCTTTTTCTCTTTGGATCATAACAGAACCTCTGAATTTGTGTATTTCTAAGATGATGTAGTACTGGATTGTGTTTTTGGTCACTTTGTATGCTCGGAGTGCGGAGTCGTAGTTTTCTTGCTCTGTGATATCATCTATATACTTTTAGGACATAAACATTTTGCAACCGCTCTGGACCTGCTTCTTTAAATCAGCTTCTATCAGAAATGGTGTCCTGATTTAGATGATTTGGATAGTATTTTTCTTTATTAGAACTTCTGAAAGCTGGGTCTGATTAAGCTGAAACCCAAATATGGTTGGTATCCCACATCTCGAAGTTCATAATGGCAGAATTCATGTCTTGCATCATAGTGTTATTGATTTTTTGTTCTTTTGTCGTGTTACTGGAAAAGTGGAAGTCATCTCAATCATATTCTTTTAATAAGTTCTGACAGTAAATTATTAATTATAATATATATGTGTGCGTATATGTGACTGACTAGTACGTGATAAATCTGATCACCAAAAGGATGCAATGGGTTTTTGCCCTACTGGTGTTTCATATAACACAAGAATTATAAGTGTTTTGTCTTGAATCTGACTAGGATTTATTATTCAAGTATTGTACGAAGTGCTTTTCAAAACCTTTATGTTGTATCAGTTTGAACTTGTCAAAACCGCTCATTCTTTTCTTGTAAGGACCTAAGCACCGAAATGTCTAATTCACGTTGTAGGTTCAAATTATAGACAAAGTTACGCATTTTTTTCCCGAAAAAACTTTGCTTCTCTTGTGCTACATACGCATTATATCAATACTTGAAACAAGAACTGGGGGGTGGTCACCCAAATAACATCATTCTCATACATCATAATCATATCTGCTGAGCTTATGATGGCGAGTGTGAGACATATGGCTGTGGACTTTAATACAGTTACTGCATGGTTTCCTTGTATTAGCTGTTTTCATTACCTCAAGATTATTTCCTGCACAGGTTTACAACGTGACAAAATTCTTAGAGGACCACCCTGGTGGGGATGATGTCTTGATATCTGCCACAGGTATGCAGCTCTCTTTTTGTCTCTCTGTTTAACTGACTTGTTCATCAGTTTTGCTCTCACAGGACAGAAGTGTCTCTAAATCTAATAAGCACATATTCTAACATCGATACAAGACAAGAAAGGAACGACACAGATACTATAACACTTCTAAAGAAGCAATATCCTTTGTCTGACTGACTGTGTTACTTATCAATGTTGGTCTCACCAAACTATGATGTCTGTAGATCTAATAAGCATTGTAACATGGATACCAGACAAGACATGAACACTTGGAGACTTAAACATGTAATATGCAGATAAAACTCAAGTTGGTATGAATATTCAGGACTTTCATCATTTAAGTGATGGGGAATTCAAATCTCTGTTCTCATAATTACCCTTTGCTCTTAGTAATCGAGGGAGATTAGTCTCTGCCTTTGGTCGAGTATGCTTCTTGTTGCCTCAACAAAAAAATCGTAATATCCTATTGCAGTTCGAAGTATCATGTCTAGTATATGAATGTCAAACACTATATGGATCTATTCTGAAATATTGGTGTTTCATAGTTGTAAATGCAAATGTATGCAGGGAAAGATGCAACTGATGATTTTGAAGATGTAGGACACAGTACCAGTGCTTTGTCAATGATGGATGAATTTTATGTTGGAGACGTTGATTCCTCAACCATCCCCACCAAGGTTAACTACACTCCTCCAAAACAACCTCAGCATAATCAGGACAGGTCGCCAGATTTCTTTATTAAGATGCTCCAGTTCTTAGTTCCCTTGCTTATCTTGGCTGTGGCTGTTGGTATCCGTTTTTACACAAAATCAACATAATCCTTGAAAATTTAGCATCGGAATAGACGCATACAATAATGTAAACTTGCTTCCATAGAAGCCAGCCTTATTTGTTCTTGAGAGGTATCATTATGAATTATCCGGGGATATAATACGTATATGCACATGTGCTTGTGTTGGGGACTAATTATATGGTTCTTGTTTGAGATGTCACCTTACTTTACTGTTAAATCTCGTTCTGTTTTTCTGCTTGATCTTGCATGAACTTGTCTGTCTTGGCTATTTCTGCTTCCCAAACGAAGTATTAATCAAGGCTTCAGTTTGTCATCAGAACTGCAATAATACCAAGTGTATTAGAATATAAGGCTGCGTCTGGCTATGTAATTGCCATTTCCAATGGCCCCCACATTTTCTCAGCTGCAATTTAAAACGTGTTTCAGATCCTTGTGGCAGGGACACACTTTTTTTTGGGCTATAAAATCGAACTTGAAAGGCTTTACTCAATCTAGGGTGTCTTGGGCAATGTTGCCTGCATTTTCAAATTGCCTCCCTTTTTGGAGGTATTAAAACTTTCCATCAAAGGCAGTCTTGGGCTTGTAAACCAATTGCTTTACAAGGTTATGGAGAAGCCCTCACAATTGCATTGCTCAATCTGGAGTGTCTTGGACAAGCTGCATTTTATCTCTATAAAGTTATATACAAGATTTAAAATGTGACAAAATCTTTAAACAGGAAATGAAAACTTAAAGTCTAGTTACATTTTAAAGCCGTTGTGTTCTAAACATTTGCACTCTAATTCTACAATTAGATTTTAATTTAGAAATAAAACGGATTTTTCTTGGGTACAGAGGGCAGAAGATAACCTAAATATGGATATAATACATATTTAAACTTCTATATTACATGCCTCTAATTGCACCTAAAATTTTCAAGTCTCGAGAGTTTTTTTAGCCAAAAAGTCTAGAGAGTTTGGAATCAATCTTATTCAATATAATTTAAAACACATGCATATCTAACCTTCTCTCTCTCTCTCTCTCTCTCTCTCTCTTTTCCCCCTCTTGTTTTCTCTCTCTGCTTTCCCCCTCTTGTTTTCACCTGCCAATGGCTTTATAATTTAGTGGCACGGAAGTTTCCTTATAAATGAAAGCTCACAAAATTGATCTTATTTATAACCTTAGGCGGTTAGTCCCTACTCCTTTAAATTTCCCAGGGGAACAATTATCTGTAAATCCTCACGTCTTGTAGGATTAAAATAAAATGGAAAATGATACTAATATGTATAGATGCAATCGACCCTATTTTTTCTCGCAATCTCTCCATGACCTCTCTTGCCTCAAGTTGGTTCTTGACAATCATTAGTCAAAAAGTTCATAGCTGCTTTGTTCAATTCTGTTTATACAATGTTTGTAATTTGCAAGCAGGCTCTAGATTGCATACTAAATAAAGTTTTTCTGTTTTTTTCGGTTGATATGATCTAGGTCAAACATAGATTTGAACAAATTGGTCAAATCATTTATCCATTTGTCTGAGCTTCAATGGCCATTCCTTCTTGTTTCTTTTAAAGCCAAGTATATCTAAACATAGGGATAACGATTTAACAAAAATGTATTCAGCTCTATGTTTGACCTACATTTCAACAAAAAGCAAACCTTATTTATCATACAAAGTCATTTGTTTATTTTGGAAATAAATTCAAGAATAACAGAAAGAAAGAAGACCCGATTGCCTTATGTTTACAATTAATTATAAATAAAGTTTTTCCATTTTGGCACAGTTCAGAATAGCTAACTGATGAACTGGGTTCCTTTAATCATGCCTTGTGTTCTTCTTTCCACGCGGAATCTATCATCTCTGCTCTTTCTACTTTTCACTGTAAAAGAACAGAATATGGACATTCAATTATTACGCAGAAAGTATAAAGATATTGATTTTTTATTACATTCACTTTCCCTATTCATCACTGCTCAATCTGGAATCACTAAGCAGACACACACATATCCATTAGGTGAAGTAGTGAAACTTTCTAAACATAAAGCAAATTAAGTGAATATAATGATTAAAGTATAAATCAAGCAACCATTTTAACGTTTTCACCAACACTAACATAATCAATAATCTAATTGACTCATGCTTTTATTCTCCTTTAGTTGATTATGATATGATATAGTCTCGCCATCAATCATGGGGAGATTCTTCAATTAAAAAAGGCACATTTTTAGACTTCGATTGTAATATTTTGCTTTGCTTAGTGGAATTTCAATGTTTGATTATTATTTTGTTTTTTGTTTGTCATGCTAATAAAAGGCTAGTTGTTTTCTGGTCAACTATGCTGAGAAGTATATATAGTTTAATGTTTACATAATTTCTTCGGACAAAACCTGTATACAACACCTATATATATTGAAATTATGAAGGGTAATAGTTGCCTTCAGTCTTCTACCCTTCACCATTGTTTGAACTCTTAATGTATGTACAAGCAAAAAGAAAATCATCAAGTCTTTAGTTTTTGAATATTTATTATTTTTTATGAGGCATCCCAAGTCTTTTTTTTTCCCCCTTAATAATAGCATGAGATTACAAGCAGTATCCTTAACTTTCTTTTATAATACTATTGGCATTGTGAACAGATCGCCTACCAACAAGGTCCTCATATTGGCAGGGGGTTCGAATTCACGACCTTGTGGGTTATGAGTTGACTTCTTACCAACTGGACCAACTCTTATTGGTATCAGCAAGTATAACCTTGTTGATGGAGAACAAGAATTTTACAAGTAAACCTTAAAAAAATAAAGAAAGAAAATTAGGGGGCAGATTTTAACGTACGGATTTATCTGTCTTTTGTGGGGGTAGGGGTGAAAATCTCAACTTTGTCTATGATTGTGTGTGGCCTTGATAAATCCGAAGCTCTATGATCCTGCTTGGAAAGTCCGATTTCTATCATTCAACTTATTAATTAATTTGCTTAATATCTTCCTCATGCAATTATTTTTTCTATGCAAATATTTGAACCCAATAGCAGGTTCAATTAGCTTATGATTGGGATGGAGAACCTTAAGAAGATTGATAAAATAGTTCTTGATTATGTCTCTAGATGTCATTTCCTAAAATAAGGAAAACTGTCTGGATTGTATATATACTTATGAATACTGTGATTACACACACACACACACAGAATATTTTGTATCTATATGTGGAATAGAGGATAATGAAAGAAAAACAGTGAGAAAAAAGCAGCTAAGAAAGAAGGTACCCTCTCAAGCAGTTTCGTTTCTATAGGTAACTTAGTTGTCAGTTGGTCACCAAATCAATTCCTCGAACAAAATTCTTTCTCCAAGGAGATTTTCATCGGATTCCCCACCACTTTTGTCCCAAATGATCATTATAAATACAACATTTCTCATCACCAAACACTCCCCTTCCCCAGCATTTTCCACTTGCTTGTCTATTACTTTCAAGAAACAGAGAGAAAATGAAAGCTATTAGAAATGAGAAGGGTGTGCTAAAACTGGTGCATCCTGGTAGACACATTGAGATTCACAGAGAGCCAATAATAGCAGCAGAAATCATGAGAAGAAACCCCAGACACTGCATTACAAGACCAGATGTGTTTCAGTTTCCATGGATTGTTATTAAACCAGAATCAATTTTGCTTCCTGGTAGAGTTTTCTTCATCGTTCCCAATCACACAATCTATAACTTGATTAAATCCAAAGCACCCTCTTTACAAAACCAACAGTTTCCACATGATCGTTCTTTAGTCATGTATTCTGCTGATATAAGCACCAAGAATCTTCTAACCCGCAAGAAATTATTCACCAAGTGTTTACCTTGGAAAATGCATCCTTGTGTAACAGTGCAGAAGCAATCCCGAGTTGAGGTTTGGCCTAAGCGGATTAGATACAAAGAGACCCACATGGAAACTGCGAAGCACTTACAGGAAGAATCAAATGCAGAGACCAGAGATTATGATGCCATTGATTATCAGAAGGGAAGTGAAGGTAGTGGGAAAGAATCGTCTGAGGAAGATGTTGATTTAGAGTTTCTGTATGAACACGTTACTATGTTGAAATCATGTTTTAGAAAACCAGATAGCATTCGTGGGTTGCTTAATCGTAAGGTATCTTTTGATTTACCAGACAAAGAAGAGGAGCAAAGGGAGTACAATGGAGTTCAGCAAAGTTTTCTGGATGTTGAGATTAGTGATAGTGATACCAGCAAATAGTGAAGCATGCCTTTTTTAGTCTTTCTTCTCCTTTTTACCGCTTTTAGTATTCTCATCCGCACAGCTTAGCCAAGGTCTTTTGTAACAGCCAAGAGAGAAACGTTTTGTGTCATTTTTGGTTCTGTATATCCCGTAAATAACATGTACAATGATGACTTCTTCTACTAAATTTACACACGGTTGGGAGTAGCAAGAATTCTCTGAGTTTTCAGATACATTGGATTTGAAAGGTCATCATACATTGTGACCTCAAGAAAATAATTGAGTTTATATTAATATGTAACGTCCAGTGTGCACAAATTAGAGCAGCAACGGAATATATTTTTGGAAATTGATTCCCTAAGGAGAATTCTTAAAATAGAAATTTATTTGGGATTTAAACTTAACTTTCCTTCCCAGAATAACTCAGCCAGTTTTGACAGACACGTTGTAAAATTAGAACAGGGAGAAAAAGATAGATGACCAGTTATTGACATATGGAACAGAAACAATCCAGATATAGATGGAACAGAAAATTTCGTACAACATTTGATTACATGCTGGTGTACAGATTCTCTATATCTATTTAACCAAAGCAAACTACTGCAGCAACCACCAGAATACTGATCTTGCAATCGAGAGAGCCTCCTAGTTATGCAAAAAAGGCCATACTAATATACAAGGTGGCCGACAGGAACAAATTAAAGATAAACAAAATGAAGTGAACATGTCACAACAAGCATAGTTTACAGTTACGCACTGAGTACAATGAAAAAACAAGAAGTCAAGTTACATTTACCTATTCTGTGCTAGCACAGGTTCTTTCAATGACCTTTGAGTCTGTTCTATGAGAATTTCTGGAAGGAGAACTTGATCCTCTGGAAGAACTATGTCCAAAAAGGCTAAGCTTACCAATTTTTTTTGAGAAAGAAGTCATAAATTTACGGGAACCAGACTTTGCCATATCCCTCTTCATGCAAACATGCTCTCTCTCCAGATCATTTAATCTCATTCTTAACCTGGCTAACTCTAGTTTTAGCTCTCGATTTTCTCGTCGCAGAGATGCATAATTATCTCTTGGGGACATCGCTGCACTTAGTGCACCGCTGCCTATGCGCCATGACTGGTGCATTGGCTTGGGGTCATCATCCCCATAGGAGTTGCATAAAGAATTTCTAAGCCTTAATTGCTCAAAATATAGAACTTGGACTACTGATTGGATAGGAAGGCGCTCATTTTGTGCAGCATGTGCTCCAGCTTCTGGTGTGAGCTTTTGAAAATCAATCAATTTGCTCAGTTTCTTCCGGTCTGAATCTGGCAAGCCTTGATGAGCCTGTAAAATACAGAAGAATCAGCATTAAGTTTACACACCCAGTCAAATTCATGAATAGCATTGTTTACAACAGATGAAACTTGTTGCAAAGGAAATCCAATTTGACATTCTTCCCATTTGCAAGCTTTAGAGAAAATAAGACACCTAATATGTAACATTTTACCATTTAAGTTTGTCTGAAATATATGACTGATGGCATACTTTTTTTTTTCCCCCAATAATAAATCAGCTAATTTTAATGCATATAATTCTATACCACTTTAAGAAGAGAATGCACTCAGGAAAGTAGTCTTTGTGAGGAAAATGGTATTCATAAATCAGAATAGAAGATGGCAAAACGTACTTTCAAGTATATATCAATTGCTCTATATAACCCATCATGAACAGTCCGTGCATGTGCTGGTAGGGTTTCTGCAATGACCATAAACTTAGAAAGCTTCAGGTTTGCATCAGGGGCAATTTCGGCAAGGTAATTGTCAACTAACTTCGCCACCTTGACTAATGCAGTTTGGGAAGGTGAATGAGGGCTATCAGATTCAAAAACAGAAGCATCTTCTAAATCATCTTCACTATCATCCTGCTGACAGAAGTTTACCAAAATCCTATGAACTGTGTCAACATCAAATAAGGTGTCCCCTGCATGCTTGAAAGATGGAATCAAAAGATCATCAAGAGTTGCAACATCCAACTGTGACCCAATCCTTCTTTCAAGATCAAGTCTACAAGCAATTGCACAGTCAAGCATCACTGCACTTCTCAATAGCCCAAAAAGAAAGTTGATAGGAACAACAATTTTCTCAACTGGCAAGAGGCTGACAATTGTCTCTACCACAAGCTTTTCATGCCCTGTCAAATTTGAATCAACTTTAGTCTGGCTAGAAGGATTCCACAAGCTGGATTTCTTCGTTAATTCTTTCTGGGCATAATTTACAAGGGAAACACCGATACTCTCAGGACGAACCCCGCGAAATTTCATGGCTAATATGACTCTCTGATACATGTCAATCCTTAGAACAGAAAGATCTTCTATCCACCAGTCACCTTCGCATTTTGCTTGCCTGCTCATGTGTAGCCTCCCTGAACTGCTATACTCTAACCTTGAGAAACTAGAAGCTATTTGCTCTGCACAGGCTTTTGATGCTATAGCATCAATGCAGCGACCAACTATATTCAGCTCATCAGCAAGAGGAAGCAGGTTTTCACATTGCTGCAAGACTTCAACGCACATTTCAAGGTTCTTGCAAACAATGCTGTCCAGATATTCCTCAGCACGAGAACCGAGGTTGTCTTTTGAGAACTCTTCCGTCATCTCGAGGTAATCACACATACAACAGAGCTGAGCAACATTTGTAGATGTAATCTCAAAGTTAATACCGTAACAGAATTTTGCAGCCAACTCAAAAGACTCAGCGCCTCCTGGTAGATTCAGAAGCTCCACTCTTGAGATATCAGAATCCCTGTGTTCTGCAACTAACCTCCGAATTCGCCCACTTCGAGAGACAAGAGGAAACTTCATATAAAAGTACGAACAATCAGGATCACCATAGTGTGGAACTAATTGTCATGACGCGTGTTAATATTTACAATTATAATTAATTCAAAACCCACGATTTAGATACTTGCCTTGTGTAACGAAAATGATCCTCCATTCACTTCTATAGTAATATCGCTGGGTACATCTCGAAAAATCCTGCAAAAGATTAAAGATTCAATCATACATAAGAGACAGTTTACTGTATTGAACTTCAGAGTAACTCAAGAATTTAAGAATTCAACAGGGGAAAAAAGCTTCAAACAGAATCCTAGTATCGGCTTAATTCAGTTAGTCAAACTATTAAACAATAGAAACTTTTTTGACAATTTTTTCGATAAAATCTACATCAGAGTTTATTTATATGATGGTTGTTAGACTCGAATGGAAAACAAGTTACTCATCAATATGTCCCCTGCTCAGTTCTGAGTACAAAAGGAACAAAAACAAATTATATTACCACTTGATTGGAAGAGTTAAGTGTACAGTAGATGCCAACAATGGAAAAACCAAGTTCTCTGGCAATCATTGAAAAAGAAAGAAGTTCATTCAGATATCCAGAAAGAATTGAAGTGTAATTAAGAAGTTCAAGTTGACATTTCAGCATCTCAGAAGGAAAAAAAATACTGGTAACATAGATCAGTAGTTAGAATGCATTATAGCATAAAGTTACGTAGTTAATAACAACAGATCATTGATCAGCTCATTCCAGCAGGAAGATCAGAAAATATTCGAGAATACCACGTTTAATAACAATAACTCTCAAAGAAGCAAGTTGAATTAGCTGTAAGAAACACTTCTCAGAGCTGCCAAACAACAGGCAAAAACTCTGAACTTGAAAAACACATCAAAACCTGAGCCACCCGTCAAAGAAAACACTTTTAAACAGTAAGACAAGAAGCAAGCAAAGTCCAAAATCCTCAATGTGAGGAAAACACAAGTATATGAGTAAAATAAAACATGTCAAAGCAGTGAGAAAACAAAACAGCAAACTAACCATTCATTGCATCGATGCCTAGCACTCTTGGCCAAGGACAATTGCTGGTGCTGAACCTGATGCTTGTCAGTACGGTCCATAGGGACTGAGGAAAAAAACCCAGGAAAGTAAAATGGAATGTGAAGAGGAGATAGGGAGAAAAAGTATAGTAGTGTGGGTTTAAGGCAGTGAAGCGAAGAAAGAGACAGAGACACTGTTGGAGAAGTTGGTGTTGGAGAAGTTCTTTGGCCATTTTCGTCAAACAGGTGGTGCTCAAAGCATAGATTGCAATCTTCCAAAGCCATGCGCCTGTGATGTGGGTCACACTTTGCTTTTCGGCACCTCCCTTATAATTTTTCAATATCAAAATCCCTTTGTCCGCAAGATACTATCCAAGAAAAATCATTTAAAAAATAAACTTATCTCATGATATGAGTACTTTAAATTGCATTTGAGCTATATATATACGATGAGATTGCAATATCTCAGCGTATAAGAGGGAGAACTTAACATCCCATATAATCAAGCTGGTGTCAATTCATCTCAAAAGCATTCATTATGATTCATTTTAAATGGAACATATGATGAAAGTAAACAGGAAGTTCAGACTAGCAGAACCAAATATAAATAAATAAATAAATGTAGATCTCTTATAAAGATTAATATAAGATGAATGTAAGCAGACTTAAATTTGTAAACGATTTTACTCCTTTCTGTAGCAAATCTGGATTCCTCCACATCTCCACACATATGATATACTCTCTCCAATTATTAAGGACTAATGGATTCAGGAGATTAAAAAATTTTGTTAAGATGGTTATTTGTAATAAATATGTGTGATTTTTTTTAAAATGTCCTTGCTAATCATGTATATTCACTAGAACTACTATTTTATGAAACATTTAATATGTGCAACTACTGTAAAAATTACTCAGAAAAAATAGATAAATATGAGAGATAAAGTGAATTGCAACTTTATATTTATAACCAAATTGAATGCCAAACTAACTATTATATTGAGAACCAGTATATATTTTACATGAACTCTTTAGGCAAGAAGGTTTATTAATTAGTACTAGTACAATTTCTGAAATCCCTTTGCACTTGACTAATTTAGGTTAAATTTAGCCAGAGAAAATGAACGTGAAGTTGCCTCTGTGGCAATTTTCTTGTACACAGACTCATCAAACTCAAAACTTTTATTTAATAAGCACCAAAGGCCAACATTTTCGCTAGATAAACCCGTTTAATTTAATAAAAGGGATAGAGTCCCTACTAATTATTTTGATTGGATGCCTTTTTCCTGCTGCGTGCTTTAAGCAAGGAAAGGGGCCCCAAAAACAGGGAGGGAGACTGGAGAGGGTTTCTGTAGAAACAAATGTTTATGCTCACAAAAAAGTCAATCATCTCACGAAACAAAGCGGCAACAAAAGTTGTTGCAGGCTTTGACAATCTTGTCTCATCTTTTTCTTCCTGTCCCCTCTTTCCTTCATTCTCAATTATTCCATTTTGGATTTATCAACATTACATCTTAATTTTAAGGTGCTTTTAATTTCATTTATACTAGTGTTACTATAAACCTTTTCAATCTTTTAAAGGGCAAATCAAACTTCATGCTTGTGAAGAAGTAATTTTATGTTGTACAAGGTAAGGTATGTGATAGTAGTTTTATCTTATAAAACGGTGAAATAATTATTTTAAATAGAAGCAAATAATCACTTAAACTAGAAGGAGTAATTACTATCTTCATGATGATTGATACTCCTTATAACTCTGAACCTTGTCCCATAGAAGAAAATCATAGATCATATTATAAATATGAGGGTATTTTGATTTAGGAAAACACAGAAAGTACTTTGGCTATCTTACTTGGGGCTGAATTAGGTTTTTTTGGTGTTCTAGTTGAAACACGTGAGCATACTCCTTGTTTTTGAGCACATTGATCTTAAGCTCCAGGATAGTCTTCCAACCCTTAATATAAGACTTATCAACTAATTTATAGGGTTTAAATAAGTTACTAAATTACCTTAAGGTATTTAATTTATATTTATCGTCTTTGTCCAAATAAATTTAACTCACTTACAAATTAATATATAATCTAATAATACATATAATATTTTAAGAAAACATGTAATATATATTATAATTTAATAATTTAATAATTTTTTAATCTTTCTAAATTAGTTAACTGTGTCCAGAGGTAGCATTTTTTTTAATCACATTTTCTTAGTAGTATTTGCTTTTGTCCAGATTTTAGGATATTTGGAATGGGAAATTGAAGAGCTGAATTGATTGAGAAGGAAGGAAAGGGAGTGAAAGCAAGAGTTAGTAAATTAGAAAAGTGAACTGGATGTGTGCAGTGTGCACTGTATTTCCCTTTCCACGTGAATGAACAAGACGAAGAAAGTAATTAAAAGATGCGAAAGGTCAAAAGGTGAACATCACCCTCAAAACTTGGATTAGATATGGATTCTGTTGCTTTATCCTTTTTTATTTGAAGTTAGATCTCTTGCATATTTTGAGAGGGATCATGTTTCAAATTCTTAAAAAAAAAAAAAAAGTACTCCCCTTATGACTAATAATAACAAAATAAATGAGTTAAAATTAGTTATTTATTGCAACTCCCAGCATTGTTTATAATATACGTAAGTATCATGTTTTGTTTGAAGTATTAATTTTTTTTTCAAATAGTATTATTAACTTATTATAAATTTTCCTAATTAATGATATAAACCCATCTAAATAATATTTTTATTAAGGATAATTTTGATCTTTTATAAAAAAAAATAATTTTAACTAATTTTTTTGATCTAGTATTCATAATTAACTATAAAATTTCCTAACTAAAAATCTAAACCCCTCTAAATAATGATTTTTTTAAGAATAATTTTAATTTTAATATGTGGCCTATGTTAGACTACTCTTATTCTGAGTCCCATGTCTACCTTAGATAACATGTACAGTTGGAATAAATTAGAAAGAGTGCACCAGGGATGCACATCTTTATAAGGTCGTTAATTATTTGAAAATAATAATTCAAATCAAATGATTTAATCCACATAATAATACTTTTTCAATCCTTAATATAAGGCCTATTTAATAATTTGATTAGATTAAAAAAGTTAGACTTAGTTAATTATAAGAAATATGACATGTTTTTTTTAAAAAAATCATAATCATCTTTCTTAATATCCATTTTCTCTTTTCTACTTGATTATAGTTGAGGAAATATTCATAGAAATAATTTAAAAAAATTTATATATATAAAAAATAAATCTTACGAGTATAAAATATATATACACCTTGCATATAATATATACAAGGTGTTGCAGGGAAGATGTGCACGCGATGGCTAGGAAGGGGACTAGCTAGGTGTGGCCACACTCTTATAATTTTTTATGATCTGTGATTTGATTACCCACCACCTCATGTGGACCATGACCACAAGTGGGTCCCATAAAAAACATATATCATTAAAGTGGGAATAATATGAAATCATTTCTTCCACCACCAGCCACCTGCTCGTTTACTATTACTTGTAATTTCAAGGACATAGAAACAAAAATGTTGTTTTTTGGGTCCAAAGTTACATTGTTTTTAAGGAGGCATATGTGTGTGACATGTTGGTTTGGTATTAGACATCTCAATGTTCCATGCATGGACGGCATATCCCTTAATCTCAGCCCATGCTATGCCTGTGATAATATTTAATATTTTGGAGTAAAGCAAAAAAAAAATTAACATACAAATTTGTTTCAAAAGTTTTCACTGAAAACATTAGGCATCTAGAATTTTTTTGGGATGCAAATTTACTCAAAAATTTAAAATCATATTAATGTTGAATCTTAAATCCTAAACCCTAAAGTTAAAAATATTAATAGTCAATGTAACTATTTTAACAACCAACATTAATTTTTTAATGATAAGTGGTAATATTACCATAATTTTAAAATTTCGAAGCAAATTTACACAACAAAAAACTTCTAGATATCCAAAATTTATAAATAAAACTTCCGAGACAAATTTATATCTTAACTCAAAAAAAAATTAAATAATCTTATAACCTAGTCATATAAATATTCTTTCACAAGTGAAGGTTGTAGATGCAATCCCAATAGTAACCTAGGCAATTAAACTTATCCCCTAATTTTGAGGGGAAAAAAGGGGTTCCAAGCGAGATTATTCAGTTAGAGAAAAAGTAATAGGATTTGCCTGTGCATATTATTCAATCAGAGAAAAAAGAATGGGAAAGTGGTCCCGTCTAAACTAGATTATTTGGACGATGGGATACGATACAATAATGAGAGAATTACAATAAGGTTTCTACTGAAAAAAATGATTAAAAAGTCTAAATAACAATGTAAGCAGTATGTATCAGAATAAAAATTGACGACTTTCAAAACTTGTATTGTAATTATTTTTTTTATCTCATTATAGCTCTCTCTATAATAATATTACCTCGGGTCCTAATTATAAGAGTTAGTTAACTAATTTAAAGAGATTAAGAAAGTAAGTTAAGTTAGTTATTTGTCTTAAATAGGTGTTCTCTTTCCTAAAATATCTTTGCTAATCAAGTGTATTGACTAGAACTATCATTGTTAGAAGGGTTACTTTGGAAAAAAAAATATAAATATGAGAGACAAAATGGATTGGGATCTTATATTTAGGATCAAAATAAAAGTCAAACAGGGTTTTATATTAAGGACCAGAGGTAGTATAATTAATATTATTTATATAGAAATAGTGTCTCGACTTTTTTTACATAATTAAATATGCCTTTTTAAATATGATGTTTCGAGTTCAAGTTTGTATGAACGTAGAAAACATATTTGAAAGAGTTATATCTAGCTAATTGACTCTGATAATACTCAAATCTAGCTAAGCCGACTAATCATATGAAAAAATTATATTATATCTAGTTCTATATATAAAATCTTATTTATAGTTCAATTTGTACTATAAAATGAATCTTATATTTAGGATAGAAATAGTATTATTGAGAGAGAGACAATAAGTTCGATCAAATTCAGAAGTGTTTTCTTTTTAGATAATGAAATTCAATTCTCCCGCGTATATAAAGTCATACATACATATGCTCGAGGTTCATAAATACAAAAAGATCATCATCATCATTATTATTACACGTACAAGAGTTTTGTCCATGTCAAATAATTCATCAAAAACTTTCTTTTGATGAAGACTGA